CGTCAGCAGCAAACCTTTTTTCTGTTTTAATAATCCTCTTATTTCAAAAGGGCAACGATCTTCAGATATCATCGTTAAACTGACCTGCTCCAGGAGGGAGATCCCACTACCCATGTATTTCGATTAGTGTGACGGGTGAAGGACGGGTGGGGGACAGGTGGTGGCAGCGTGAAATAGGGAAAATGAATGCAAAAAACCGTTTCATGACCAACAAATGAAGGAAAAAAAAGAAAAAAAGAAAAGAAAGTGCTCTTCTCACAGATGGTGTCTGCTCCAGCCAGGGTGTCAGATGTCAGGGCATGATTCACTGACCTTGGCTGTGGCAGTCGAGACGACCGCATGTGAGCTGGCACATGGACCATATTCATTGACAATACTCCGAGGCTTCCTTGAGATGGGCCACAGTGCACGCTGCTCGGTTGTTCTGACAGAGCTTCTCTGCATACAGCATTTGCTGTAGGTGAGGGGATCGAACCCTCCAAAACACCTCCAAACCACAATCACGTCGGCCTGTCTTCCAAGCATGGCCGATGACACAAAGGTGAGTAGGTGTGTAAAAATCATCAGAAAAAAAATCGTTATGATTTTCACTCACGTTTGGGACCCCAAGAGGAACACTTCTTCAAAAAGAAAGAAAGACCACCCAATGGGAGGCCCCCAAAACACACATATGTCTCCGCGCGTAAATACAAATAAAAACACGCCGCAGATATCCAGTTCGATCCACGGTGCTTCAGAGTCACACAACCTCTCCACTATCGGTAGTGGGATCTCCCTCCAGGTGATTCATAATTATTTTGTTCTGTCATCTGATAGTGTCTGGATTGGAATTTGGGTCTGTATTCCAAGAATTTGTGGGTGTACCGACAGAGCTAGGCTTGTTGGTCTTTTTCTTTTCTGGCTGGTGCCGTCAGCCATATTGTGTCCGATAGGCCTGAGGCACAAAATTTCAGCAAGGCCTGTACTGGCGGTTTAAACCACCAGTTCATGTGACACAAATGTGAGCCGAAGTTGTGGCCTTGCCGGTATACGCGGGAAGAATGTTCCGCTTGGGGCTTGGGCCCGTAGCGAAATTGGCAGGCCACTTTGAAAAGGCACAGTTATAGGCTGGTGAGCCTTGGAAGATAGCTTTGTCAACTGAGACTCATGTGAACGGGCGACCTCTTTTTGCCTTGGGGGATTTGCATGTGTGGACTGGCGGTTTGTACTGCCAGTACATTCTCTTTTTGCCGTGGTGGATTTCGTGAACTGGTGGTTTAAACCACCAGAACATTTGAGCCTCTTTTTGCAATGGCATAATTGGCGGTTTAATCCAGCAGTACGTTCAGGGATTTGTATGCATGAACTGGCAGTTTAAACCACCGGTACATTTGAGCCTCTTTTTGACGTGGCTGATTTGCACTTCACACCAGGCTTCGCTGAACCGTGAGTCGGGCGCTTTTTCGTTTTTTTGGCTGGCAGTGTTCACCTTTGGGCCTCTTTTTCCTCTGTCGAATTTCGGTTGAGCGCCAGTCTTTTCGTTATTTGGCTGGCAGTGTTCACCTTTGGGCGTCTTTTTCCTCTGGCAGATTTGGGCTGCGAGCCAAGTCCAAAATGAACGAGCTGCGGTGCTCTTTTTCCTAAGGTTCAGGGAGGCCAAGGGAGGGAGGTGGAGTTCCCAGAGAATTGTGGGTTTGCCTGGGAGAAGAGTGGTGGTTTAAACCACCAGTATTTCGCCCCAGCCTTGCTAAAAAGAAACTTGTCGCCTGGTCTGAACTTCTGTTTTCCTAAGGTCCGGGGAGGCTGAGGGAGGTAGGTAAGAGTTCCCAGAGAATTGTGGGTTTGCCTGGGAGACGAGTGGAAGTGTAAACCGCCAGTACACGGCCCCAGCCTTGCTAAAAAGAAACTTGTCACGTGGTCCGAAGAGTTCGGAAGTCGAACCGCCAGTACACGGCCCAGCCTTGCTAAAAAGAACCTCGTCGCGTGGTCTGAAAAGTTTAGAAGTCAAACCACCAGTACACGGCCCCAGCCTTGCTAAAAGGAGCTCGGTGCCTGGTCCGAAAAGTTCAGAAGTTCGGGGTCACAGTCAATAAAAAACATCAGCGGCCGGTGTTGCATTTCAGCCTCCGAAAGGGGCCTGCGGCCGATGTATGGCATGTACTGGTGGTGTTTGTCTTAGGACGTACACTACCTGGTAGGGCTTTTTCAGACTGATATCTGGATGTAGTTGCAGCTGACAACTTGTGGAAAGGCCAGGCCGTAAGTGCGGCTGGACACATCCGGGAAAAATCCTACCGGTATTGTTTAACCATGCACCTACCCCAAACCTGCTTGCTTATACATCGGACTTATATCTGGACGTAGTTGCAGCTGACAACTTGTGGAAAGGTTGGGCCGTAAGTGCGGTTAGACACATCCGGGAAAAATTCTACCGGTAGTGTCAACCACGCACCTAGTCCGAATCTGGTTGCTTATACATTCTCGCTTTGCTCAATCTCTGTTCTCAATTTTGCCTTGCCCATCTTCGTGCTCACATTGATGAAAGGAATTTTCTAGCCCGTTGACTTTTTGTTCCTGCTCTCCGGTAGTGTTAACCACGCCTGTCTCTACTGTCTTGGGGCAAACACAACTCACCGAACTCACCTGATGAAAACAGAGGAGAGTGGGAGGGTAGTCATATTCAGGGGCCAAGTCCCACTAGCCACCTTGACTTTCCCACTTCCGAATTTGGACGTGTTTGTGGAGATGTGCACAACTCAACCCCCCAAATCTAACTGTCTTTGTGGAAGTGTGCACAAAATAGCGTTTGAGTTTCCTCAACCACACATCTCCACAAACGTGTCCAGATATATTTGGGCGTTAAAGAAACTCAACGCTACTAGTGGGACTTGGCCTCAGGAGGAAGATAGCCATATTGAGGGGGATGTGCCACCGTGGAAAAGTAGTTGAGAGAATCAGTGGATACGCACAGTAGGTGACTACAATCTTCACCTGAATAGAACGCCCGGTCATTGTAGGTGTATTTGAGGCAACTTTCAGTCTAGATGCAGTGATAATGACCGGGCTTTTCTGCATGTACTCTAACCTTATTTGTGATCAGGTACGTCTGGGACTGTCCTGATGTCGGCAGGATGCCCTTGGGACCGGACGGGCTTAGAGGAAAAAGTGGGGCAAGAGGCCTATTTGAGGCAACTTTCAGTCTAGGTGCAGTGACAATGACCGGGCTTTTCTGCATGTACTCTGACCGTACGTCATCAGGTACGTCTGGGACTGTCCTGATGTTGGCAGGATGCCCTTGGGACCGGACTTCCATAGAGGAAAAAGTGGGGCAAGAGGCCTATTTGAGGCAACTTTCAGTCTAGATGCAGAGATAATGATCGGGCTTTCTGCATGTACTATGACCGTACGTTATCAGGTGTTTCTGGGACTGTCCTGATGTCGGCAGGATGCCCTTGGGACTGGACTTGCATAGAGAAAAAAGTGGGGCGAGAGGCTTGTGACGGCAAACTCATGCGCGGACCTTACCTTTCTGAATCTGACTGGATTGATGGTTAAATACAGCCAAAAATTGTAATGATGTGAGTATGCCCTCCTAAGACCCTGCAGGTGGAGGATGTCCCATTGGCTTTTCTTTCCTTGTTTTTGTTTTTTTCCTTTTCTTGTGGTTGTCTTCTTGTCAATAGAATATTTTTTCTTTCAAATTTCAGTCAATAGATTTTTTTTTTTTTTTTTTTTTAAGGGTCAATATCTAGGGTACCAGAGTGGCCCGCAGTCACTTGCCCGGCCGGGCCAAAAACATTTAAAATAAAAATAAAAATGAAAATACAGTTTATTTTTATTTTAAATTTGGTGAAGAATTTCGATGTGACACTGAGGCAAAAGTTGTTCAGTTTATTTTTCTGCATAACGTAGTTATTTTGTGGATTTTTTAGATTTTTTTTTTTTTTTTTTTTGGCTGGAACCTTCCCTGGTCCTTTTTTTTTTTTTTTTGAAGATCAATTTATTATCAAAACAATGCGTTGAGGCCGTGGACCTCACAATTCCGCCCGGAGTTATCCCGGCAGCATCAGCCGACTTAGCTTATGTGAGCGAACTCGATACAACCACGTGCAAAAATTCCAATGCCACCTTGGGCCCTACTACCACATACCCTACAACCCCTAAGACCTAGATGCGAGCCTACCCCTAAACTACCCCCCTATTCGACCTGGGAAGACCAACCTAAAACCGGCCGGAGGGAACTCGTCCACCTATCAAGACCACTCTGGGACCAGTGTCTACTGCTACTGAACCAGAACTCTACTGGCAACCGAGTGATCAGGTTGCCCCTATTCTCCTACATACCCCTGTTGCTTTCCTACTCTCCTACTGTGGCTATCTGTCTAGCCACGGAGCCGTGCGCAGTTTCCCATCTGTTATGCTTGCCAGCACCCCTGGTCTTGCCCAGGTTTTCTGAAACCAGCGTCTGCCTGCCGTCCCATCTCCCTGTAGAACCTTCCCTCTCCAATCCGGCCGGATCTCTGTCTTCAGCATCGATCTGAACTTCTCTGCCTGCTGTTCCGTGAGCTCCCGAGTCTGAAACCTTCTCCCATTCCTGTCCAGCCAGATCACCCACATCATAATAGCCCGAGCTGTTTGCGCCATGTATCCCCATCCTGAGTCAACCGACTTCCCTGGTGGCAGACAGCACCCAGGACCTATCCTGTGCAAATTTTTTACCTGACATTCTTTCCTAGTGAGCAAACCACCACAGCCACCATTTCCTTGAGCGCGGACAGTCCCACCACATATGAGTCGTGGTTTCCACTGGCCAGGAGCACCTATCGCATTCCATTCACAATTGCATGCCCCTGGAGTTGAGCCACTTAGCAGTTGGCACTGCTAAGTGTGACTGGAGCCAGAGTAAGAAGGCTACTTTCTGTGACAGTATGGCAGCTAGTTGTCTCCACAGACGAACTAACTGTTCTTCTGTGGGAACTGGTACGAACAGCTGGGCTTGCTCCCATCTGGGAATCACCCACCGTTCTTTTTAACCTCACCCGTTTGCGACCTGCCATCGCCAGATTCAGTTTGCTCAGATCTTTCACCACCTCCTCTCCTATCTCCCAACCCCACATTTTTGGGTCAATTCTTAGTTCTCGAATTGGTACTCCTCCCGCAACAATACTGTGGATCGTCCGTCTTTGTCTGCCTAGTCTTGTGTCTGTCCTTATCCTGACCTCTTGCAGGCCACTCAATCCTCTGCGAGTTACTGTTCCCGCCAAGCCAAGTATGGTGGAGGACGCATTGGCTCTTGTGAACACCTCCAGGCTACATTTGCCATTCTGCTCCGCATCCCAATTACTCGAGCTGTAAAATTTATCTTTTTCCTCCCCTCGAGTTCCTCTGAACCATGTGCCTGGCGGGTTAACAGCTGCCGGTCCCAGCAGCTGTTTCCATTCCTTCGGTACAGCTTGGATCAACAACTCTAGCCTCTCTGCTTGAGACGGGAGACAGCCTAGCTTCTCTTTCAGGTATTCCGGAGTACACCAACAGTTCCTCAGCTCGTCCCACGAGTTGCCAATCGTCGCTACCCCTCTCTGTATCCATTTCTGTCCATCGCCCCCGGGGAAGATGCAGCAGAAAACGTAAGGCCCTTCAGACTTACAATCAAGGAGTTTTCAAAGAGCGGCTGTGCTTTCACCTCCTCTTTTGAGTTGGGCTGTGTGCGGTAGTTTGGCTTCACCTGCTTCCAAGCCTGCAGAACACTGTTCCAGAATGGTGACTTGAACCGCTTGTTGAGGAATGAGTCCGTCATCAAAGCCAGCCATACATCAGAGGGCCGACTCATACCCCATTCATTCATCAAAATATGTCCAGCCATGAGGCACCAATCCGGCGGCTCCTGTGCTTCCGCCACTTTGACTAGCCAATTCGCCAGCAGGGTGAGATTCTGTGAACCTGGCTCTGTTATGGCCAGGCCTCCGTCCTCCCTTGGGGCGCAGACTGTCTCCCAGGCAACCTTGGCAATATAACCTTGATTTTCCTTAGCATCTGGTTTCCACAGAAATCGCCTTCCTGCTGCCCGGATTGCTTTGAGAGTTGAGTCTGATAACTTGATTGTACGCAGCACAAACCAGAGGAGGGAAAAGGCAGACATTGTGATAACCATTGCCCTGCCCACCAGCGAAAGGTGAGGGGCTCTTCCCCAACTCTTGATCTGCGCCACTACCCTCTCTTGCAGGATTACCTCTTGTGAGGAGATCGAATCACGTAATGCAATCATGACACCCAGAAATCTTTGTGCTTCTCCCATTGGAACTCTGTGCATGCCCCACTGCGCTTGGAATTGGTACTCCTCAGGTAGGAAGAACGACGATTTGTTCCAGTTGATGGCTGCTTCCGATAGCTCAACATACTGATGAAGACAGATCCTTAATGCTTCCAGGGAGGAGGATGTATTCATCGAGAGGGCAAAGAGATCATCTGCTAAAGCTTTAACCCGACATTCCCCTCCTCCTTGCAGCTGCAGACCTTGTATTCCGGGATTCGCTCTGATTGCAGACAGAAGAGTATCCAGCTGTAGTACAAACAACAGAGGTGCGAGAGGGCACCCTTGCCGTATTGAGCAAGAGAGTTGGAATTCTTCTGAACTGACCCCGTTGACTTGTACCACCGCCGTTGAGAAGGCATAGAGCACTTTGACCCATCTGCAGAACGCGTCGCCAAACCCCATGACCCTCAGAGTTGTCATAACAAACGTCCAATTGACTCGATCGTAAGCTTTCTCCAAGTCGATCAGCAGCACTGCAACGTCCAAGTCTTCCTTTTCCAGGATCTCCAGGGCTTCAATGGCAAAATGTTCTCGAAGATCAACCAGCCCTGAACAAAGGCACCTTGATCGCCACCCACCAAAGACGGAAGACAGTTGCCCAGATGCCTTGCTAAAGTCTTCGCCAATATCTTATAAATGATATTAAACCACCAGTACTTGGCCTAGCTATCGGCTGCGGCACTTTCCCGTTAACGCGCCGTGCCTTTAGGGCTTCGGGGTACCGGACCTCAATGGCTGGAAGCGCCAGCCAAAACAATTTCGAAACGGTATCCGGTGCTTCGGCTAAAACCGGCGCGCAGGGGCATTCCAGGCTTGGCATCATAGCTGGGCCAAGTACTGGTGGTTTAAGTAAGGATATTGGCCTCCAATTTCTGATATTCCTTCTTTCCCCTTCTTGTAGAGTAAGGAAATCACGCCTTTGGTCATTGTCTTACCCAACGTACCCCCTGTTAGAATGTCGTTGTACAATTTGACGACGTTCGCCTCCAGGTCGTGCCAGCAAGTGATGAAGAACTCTATTGGCAGCCCGTCGTCTCCTGACACTTTGCCCTTCGCCATCGTCTTTAGTGCATGTCTCAGTTCCTCCTTTGATATTGGCCTGTCAAGAAGTAGCCTTTCTTGCTTCGTAAGTCTGGCTTGCAGTGTGTCCCATAAGTCGCTTTCCACCGTCATATCTGTTTCCCAGTCCTAATAAGTCTTCCTGGTGGCCATAATATCTTTGAAATAGTCATCTGCGTATTCGCACATCACCTCATTCCTAGTTGCGACCGGCTTCCCGAGGAGGTGTGGATTCTGCAGCTCCTTCATTTGTACCATCCGTTGTTAGGGAAGTAGTTTCTTGAACACCTCCTTGGACATTCTGTCATTGCTGGCAATTCCCTTTTCCTTTAGGATCTCGTCCCACCTTCCTTGTTTTTCCGTTTGCATCTGCTCCCATTCGTCGAGTCTCAGATCCCGCTTTTCCGCCCATACATAGTTTGAGATCGGATGTCTGCCCATCTGCTTTTTCGCTTCATCGACTTTTCTTCGACAGTCCGCTTCTTGCTTATTCCTCAGGAAAGCCGCAATCTTGGAGAATAGCTGAGATGATGCGGAGTCCAGTGTCCCACCGATCTTGGTGGTTTGGGAAACTTTCTTTTGAGCCTTGCCAATCTGTCCAGAAGCGTTTCACCCACTCCTGCCATCCCTCATCCTCCAGGTTTTGGGTATTCAGCTTGAAACATCCCGACCCTCTTGTTTCTTGAGCGGAGATGAGCACTTCCATTCTCACTAGTTTGTGGTCTAACATAGAGTCATTGATTTCCTCTATCCTCTGTACTCCTGAGAGAATCCCCTTCGTGAGAAAAAAAATCCAGACGCCGCTTTGATCCGGCCGCCTTCTGGAGTTGGGAAACCAGGTGAAGCCTGACACTTTAGGATGCATTTCCCTGAAGGTGTCGTGTAGGTCCCATGCCTCCTTCCATCTCAGAAACGCTTCTCTGTCTTTACACGTTCCATCCCTTCCCTCCGAGTCTAATCCTGGCATGCTTATCAGATTCCAATTGCCTCCCACTACCATATGTTCTTCTAGTGGCAGGCAATATGGTAGGACCCTCACAAAACTCAGTCTTTCCTTAGGGTCATTTGGAGTATAAACCGTTGCTGCCACGAAGGTCACCTCCTCACATTTAAGCTTGATCCACACCCACCTCCCCCATAAATCTGCGTCGTAGTCTATTAGCTTTGTCTCCACTCTTATGAACTAGGATTGTTGTGCCTCCTTTGGAGCCTCTGGCAGGTGACCAAAGTCGAGGTCCATCCCACCAATCACCCAATTGTGCAAGCTTCGCCTCCGACATTTTTGTTTCCTGAAGGAAGATGATGTCTGCCGCCTGTGCATGAATCCAGCTTTTCAGTCTCTTCCCTTTCTGCTTGCTCCCAGTGTCGCCAAGCCCTTGTACGTTCCACGTCACTACCTTAAGCTTGACCATTAGATCCGCTTGGAGCATTTGGGTTATGGATTCACTCAATATTTGTTGTGTCTTGGTTGTCGTCCCCCTGAGACGGGGTGGTGGGCTGCCAATTTTATGCTAAAACCTCTTGTACGAAGCCCGACTCCACATTCCGATCTAACGACATTTTCTCATTCAGACCCTTCAGGAAATGTGCTGCCACGCTTGGCTCCACCAGCACATTTGAGAGTTCTGTGGACGAGGCGTCCAACAGAGGATTCTGAGAGGAATGCAGGTTAGATCAATTGATGGAAGGCCTGCCCAATGAGGAGTTGGAGTTCTTGCATCAATGAGCGGAATGTAATATTTGACTAGCTGTCCCGCCGGCGTTTCGATAGTGATCTTCGACATGGCTTCCTTTGGGAATAGCCTGAAGCAGAAGCGATCCGCATATAACTATCTGACTCTCGCTTCGACCTGGTCTGGCCCAGGGATCCCACATATCATCTATGTCGACAAAATTGTTTGCCCATTTCGATGGATGAGGCCGAGGACAAAGGCTTCATTTCCCAACAGGGTACAAACCGATGGGAGCAAGAACTTCTCTTCGTGCTGCTGTTCATTCCCTGTTCGAGTGGGGACTCCCTCAACAAAAAAGTCCAGTGTGTTCTCCATCCTTTCATCTCGAGCTGGGGCTGCACTGGAAGATTGCGACGTAGCTGATTGTGTTTGCTCCTTCCGCCTCTCTCGTTGCTTATCCACCGACACCACTTTCTCCTCGTCAACTACCAAGGGCTGAGTTGGAATCATCCCCCCTTGGCCTATCAGTTGGTTGTGTACACTCAACCCCGTTTAATAGCCCGGGTAGGTCATGTAAGGATTAGGCAGTTGTGAGCCTTGGTAAGCCGTCCCTGTCCAGCATCCGTATGGGGACGCTCCCATTCACGGTTGTTGCCAGATTGGAGGTTGCTGTGTGTAGCCTCCGTACGGGTCTCCTGCTCCTTGATTCCAGGCGGTCGTCCCTCCCACGATACCACCTCCCGGTGGTGTGCCGAATGCACCTGGTGTGTTGTTACTGCGTCCTCCGATAGCAGGGGTTGCTATTCTGCCCCTAGCTTGGTTTTGACTTGACTCCCGTTGGTCGATGTAGCCTGGTTGTTGACGACTCCCATCCCTACTACCTCCTCCCCTGTTTGAGTCTTCTCCTCCGTGCGAGGTGCTCACGTCTCGCACGACATCCCTTATCCCTCGTTGGTAGATAACTTCCCCTTGGTTAAATCTTCGCGGGCGGTTCCTATTAGTCGCCTCTCTTGGCTCTTCGATCCCCTCCAGTGCCTCCTTTGCTCTTGGGCAGTCCTCAGATTCCGTGTGATTCCACCAGCGGCATCGAGTGCAGTACGGAGTGTTTTTGCATACAAATTGCACGTTGTATGTTTCACCATTAAGCCTCATAGGAAGAGTAGATTCAAACCGTTCTTCTGCTTCCCTTGGAAGCTCAAATTTGAGGTTCATTAACTTAGGTCTTGAGGCATTTGGTTTCGGTGGATGTTGGAGGACGATATCGCCCATCGCTTGCTGCACCAAATCTGGGATGTGAAACATGGCTCTTAGAGGTACTCTCAGGGCCATTACCCAAAATTTGGTTTCATCCTCCCTACGTCTTCTTTCTTCCAAGTCACCCAGGGTTTGCATAGAAGCTTGTATTCGATGCCCCTGATAACCACCTCGTCCTCTGCCTTCGCCACCAGCCATTGAGCTGCTTCCCTTGATTTCGCAACATACGACATAACATTCGGGCCCTCTCCATGCACTCTCCCACGCTTGAAGCCTCGAGAGAAGGTCCTTCGACGCAACCAACCGTTTTCGTATGCCCGGATTAGGTCCTCTCGCACTTTCGCCGGTAAATCACGGGCCGCCCCTTGGAAAATCATCGTGACTGTGCGTTCTTTCAACCACGCCGTGGTGAGTCTATCGATCTGGGGGTTCACCTTGAAAATTCGAGTGCCATTCTCGATGACAAATTCACCATCCTTCAGTCTCTCTGGGGAAATCCCATCCTCGTAACCCTTCGCTATAAGGAGCCTCACTCGATCCTCTTCTGAGAGCTGAACTTCCTCTCCCGGCGGGTTCCTTCCTCCATATCCCTCCTCCCTCTCCAGTGGGGCTGCTCTCTCTCCTTTTCTCCCATAGCAGCGTTTGACTTTCTCTGACTTGGTGGACATATCAATGGCGGGGTCCCATCTGGCGCACGCCCACTAGCATGAACACGAGAACTCCCCTTACTTCACTAACACGTTCTGGAATGTTAAAACTTCAGTCTAGGCCGGACCACGCATCGTCAAGTCTCCCTTCCCCATGGGTTGGTAGCTCGGAAGTTACCGAGCGAGACGACTACGCTAATCGCAATGGCATCATGGCGGTGCCAGCATCGCGACGGTCCGGACCGGCCCTTCAGCCGGTAGCGCTAACTTGGAGCGCTGTAGCGCCGTCCGCCGCGCCCCCTTGTTCTTCCTGTGTCCATAGTTCCAATATGTATTTTCAGTTACCCAGTTTTTTTTTTGGATTGGTTGGCATTTACGGCAAATCAGAGCCCCCAGCCTCCAAAGTAAATCACCTTGGAAATACTGTTAGTAGGGCATGGTCACACCGGGACTTGTCTTTTTTCTCCTTGGAAAGAGTTTCAATTTATACTAGCCAAGTGCCCGTGGTGCGGAGGGTGAGGGCTACTCCCGAAGAAATAACAAATGCAGTGGGTGACCTCACACTGCATTTCGGATGGCTCGCCTCCAAGATTTTCATCCGCAGAAACAATGATGGCCTAGGGGGGGACAAAACGACAGCCGCGATAAATGAAAAAAGAAGGAAGGAAAAGAAAAGCGTGTCACGAAACAACAGGCGTGAGCAATGGAAAAAGGAGAGGGGGACACAAAACGACGGCCAACCGGGAAAAAAAAAAAATGCCCGCATATCGGATGGCTCGCCTCCAAGGTGTTCGTCCGCATCAACGCCCCACGGCCAATGCTGCTTAAGGGATAGGATTTTAAAAAAAACAGCATAGGAAGGAAAATTGGCTTGGGCCTCCTCGCTGGCTGTGGAAGTGAAGAGGATGCTTTCCAGCTCGTGCCAGGTGTTAGGAGCCGGGGTACTGCTCCCCGCAACGCGCAGAAGGCTGGCAATATCTTAGTTTTTTGGGGGAAAAAAAAGATTGCTCCCCACAGCTCAGGGGGAGTCACATAAGAGAGAGCAGAGATTCTGTTTTTTCTAATTTAAAAAAAACAAAAGCAAGGGCATACTAAGCTCTGAACGTGATTGCCTGCAGATTCATCCAGGGCTGGCCGTAAGTGCGGTCAGAAACATTCTGGAAAGTGAGTGCGGTCAGAAATAGTCTGGAAAGTGAGTGCGGTCAGGAAACATGATAGGGCAGACTCACACTCCAGGACTTCTTGTACTAGCTCTGGACGTGATTGCCATCAGATTCATCCAGGCGTGGCCGTAAGTGCGGTCAGATACAATACCGGAATTTCTCCAGTCTTCCCCCGAACAAAATTCACGTATGTACTATTCAATTTTCCCTGGAAAGTCCATTTCTCAAAGTTGTCCCTTGAAATCCAAATAGTACACGTTGAAATAGTATGCACATATGTTCTATTCGGACGGACGAGTCTTCTGCAATAACCCATGCTAAATGCCTCGTGAAAGTCTGAGGGCCTCCCGGCCGCACTCAGACCCAGGCCAAGGGGGAAAAATAAACCCCACGTAAAGATTCAGGGCCTGGACGAGATACAGTTGACTAAGTC